ATAAATATTTATAAATAAAATAAATAACTTGAAAAAGGAGAATAAATTGAATTCCTGAAATATGATAGAAGAAAGATGAAATAATAGAGGATTCAAGAAAGAGTGTACTGAAAATAAGAGAGAATAAAGAAATTTGAAGTTTTGAACTCAAATGATGAAATAAAGAAAAAATTTGTCATTCTTTTTGTCCCACATCGACAAAGCCGATAAAATAAAGAAAAAATTTGTCATTCTTTTTGTCCCATATCGACAAAGCCGTAGGATGGAACTTGAAAATTTCCTATAAATACTCATCTCCCCGGATTCTAGAATATCTAGGCTAGATCTTATGCTATTGGGCTGACCGAAAGTGTATGGACTCGATAAATGAGTTAATTGGGTCAGATTTTATTTAGTTTAAATTTTTAGTAAAAGTTTTATTTTTCGACATTTCTCCGAAATATCGGCAAAATATCGATATATTGACAAAATATCGATGATTTTAAGGAAAAACAATTTTTTCCTTTGTCAATATATCAAGCACGTCAACATACCGACATGTCCGATATTTAGTACCATGGTTCCAACAATATATATTTCTCAATTTCTTACGAAAAAAATAATAAATAAATAAGTAAAACCATTCCAATGGTTTACCTGGAGTACCAACTCCAATTGTATCGCCAAGGGAAATTTCAGAGCATCCCATTCTGTAAAGCTCCCTAGCAACGTATGCTACATTTGATGGGGGCACCATTCCTTCAATGGGACAGCCCACAACACATGATACATATCTAACAGGGTTGTAGAAGACATTTTCAAAATATTTAAAGTCGTGTCATTCCATGGAAAAATTCTTAAACGTAAATAACATATAAATAGCTTTAGTAAAAGACGAAATCACATTTAATACATAAGAAACAAAATTACCATAAAAAATGGGAGGGCTAAACATCCTTCCACATCTAATAGCATAAGGAGGCAAACGCAATTAAATAAGTAAAAATTCTTTGGAAGTAGAAATCCAACTACAAGCAAATCTTTTTTGTCCTTCATTTTAAAAAAGGAGATTTAATTAAGAGAAAGGTTTAAAATATAGGCAATATATTGCCAACATAGCATAACTCTACTAATCAAGGCATTACTGACCTCTCTAAAGGTAATTTTTATCTCTCCCTCACTTGTTATACTACTCAACAAAGAATATTGGCAATACATGGCCAAATTCAACCTATCTATAACGATATGAGGGGGACAGTCACTATCCCCCAAATAATATAATATATTGTCCCATATTTTTGTATATCAAAAATGTTAGTAGGAAAACATCAAAATATCTACAATATTTTGAACAATATCTCACCAACTTCATCGACATACTGCAAAGCTTTATAGAAGTGTAACTATTGGTTTAACTTGAGCAATTAAAGACAATTTAAAAAGCCTATTGCATTTAAGAGAATAGAGCACGAGAAGACATTTATAGAGAGGTTTTCACCCACTCATCCAAAAGGTTTCGATGGGGGAATCCTTACCCTTTCCATTCCCCAAGCCATTCAACCTCCCACTCTCACACCTTCTCTTTCTTCTCTCCTTCCCCCAACGTCACTTCTCTCTTCCTTCCACTTCTTTTCCTCTTTATATTTTATATTTTATATTTGTTTCTATATTTTTCATCATTTTTTCAATATATATTTTTTCCATCTCTATCCTCTTCACCATGTTGTCCGTAGCTCACCACTGTCGTGGGATTTTGGTTACCATCCAAGATCGTGGGTTGCTAGGGTTTCATGTATTGAAAAAAGTGTTATTCGTTCAATTGGTTCGATTCAGTCGATTCGGCTCTCTGGTTCGATTTTTTTCCTCTCCCATATTTGGTTTGGTCTGTCTCAGTGCAATTTTATGTTTCTGTTAATATTAATCAATGGTTAACAATGGTGACGCTTGAGATGATTCCCGATGATATCAAAAATCACATAACGTAAGTTGACTAGATCCAACTACTCTACATGGAAAATCAACATTCATCATTTAGCATTGATATGGACGATCACATAACTGAAGATCCCACCTTAGGTTGGGAACAAGAAAGCCGTGTTGCAAGATGATTCTAGACTAATTCTAGAGATCAGGAATTCGATTGAGAGTGAGATTATTGGAATGGTTAATCAATGTGAGTCTATCAAAGAATTAATTAAATACTTGGAATTCCTTTATTCTAGAAAAGGAAACGTTAATCGAACGTTTGAAATTTGCAAGGACTTCTACCAACCTAAGTTTAGCGAACAATATCTTACAAGTTAGTTAATCAAGCGCAAAAGAATCTATGCAGGCGCAAAAGAATCTATGCAGAGCTTGATGCATTACCCTTAATTAGTACTGATGTAGAAGTTCAGCTTGCCTAACACGAACAGCTAGCAATTATGAGTTTTCTGGATGGTTTTTCACCTAGATTTGATGTGGCCAAAGAACAATTACTCTTTGATTCAGAAATCGCATCTTTAGAGGAGGCATAAACTAAAGTACTTCACATTGAGAAGCCAAAACCCATCCTATCATCCCAGTCTAACAGTGCTTTGGTCGGATGTACAAATGTGTACCGAGGTAACAACCACGAAGGGAATTTTACGAGTTCAAACACCCAACGATGGAATTCTAGTGCTTAGAAATCGAATTCAGGAGAAATCGTTGTGTACAATTATTGTCATAAGTCCAACCATACAAAGCGAGAATGTAGAAAGCTGTTGAATAAAGGTCAGAAGACTCAGTCTACACATGTTGCATCTACTCCTGATGATGCCAACAAGTTAATTACGATTTCTGTGGAAGAGTTTGCTAAGTTCCAACAGTATCAAGATTCATTGACGACACCATCCTTTAATCTACTTAACGTCATCGCAAAGTCAGGTAACACAAGTACATGTCTTCTTTAAAGAGTAGTCTCATGGGTTCTCTCTCCCTATAAAACACGGACACGGCAAAAAAGGAGGAGTGTCTGTGTCGGACACGTGTCGGACACGGATACGTCCGGACACGCTCCGGACACGTGTCCGACACGCAATTTAAAGTGTCTGAATATTAAATTTTTTATTTTAATTTCAGACACGTGGGGACACGTTTTGGACACGGGAGGGACACGCCAGATAAAAAAATATTGTTTCCTTAGCCCAATTTTGGAAGTCCACGAAGTTTGGCTGAAATCTCAACAACTTAAACTACAAAAAAAAAACCCTAAAACGCTACCTAGTGACCCACCCTTCTGTTKGTGTGAGTTAAATTAAATAAGCTCTATTCTTACTTCCTTTTTTCCCTAATTTCATATGAATTAAACTGGAGTAGAATATGATTTACTAAATTAGGATGACAACTTCGACCCAATAATCAAATTCAAATCCTTCTCTAGGATTTTTTAGTGGATTACATTTACTATTTTTATGCTTTTTAGTGGGGTACATCTTCAACCCAATAAATTTACTTGACATTTATGTTTTTTAGCGAAGTATATTTAGCATTTTTATGTTAAATTTACCTATATCTTAAAAAAAATAATAAATAAATAACGTATCCCCAGCGTGTCCGTGTCTTAGTTTTTTAGAAATTGACGTATCGCCGTGTCCTGTCGTGTCCGTGTCCGTGTCCGTGTCCCGTGTCCGTGTCCGTGCTTCTTAGGGTATAACAAACAGCTCATCGCAATTTGGATTTGTTAAACTTTATCTGAAAGGTTCTGTTATTCAACTGAACGGTTTCTGTTTCTTGATGATGTTTGAAAATTTCACGCTCGTTTCTGGTTTTTTGTTTCTTATACCTGAGTGAAAACTGTAACTTGACTTCTGCATTTTGTTGCAGTGTTTGGCAGGACTTTGTGGTGCTTGTTTTAATCAGCACAATATGCTACTTTTTCTTCCTCGAGCAGCTTCTGGTATGCCATTTTCCAAATTTCTTTACGAATTATTTCTGCTCGATGTTATCCCCT